GAAGCATTCAGAAATTTATTTTTTCCAGAGCTGTTGTTATTTCACCATTTCATTAAAAAAAAAAAAAACTGTTTAATTTCCTTGACTTTGCGTAAAATTCTGACTGGCGCTCTATATCTTTCTTTACAGGTACAAACGGACTGTAACCTGGAAACATTCCTATTCTGTTGCAGCTGTATGCTGGCTTGTTGCAATACCATTGAGTTTTACTCCCATGTTTGGATGGCATAAAGACCCACCTGACTCTGCTAATTCTACAGTTGTCTGCCGGTTCATAGAAGTGATTCCCATGTCCTACTTGGTTTACTTTAGTTTTTTTCTTTGCAACCTCATGCCTCTGTTGGTGATGATTGTTTTGTACAGCTGTATATTCTGTTTTATTCATGGAAGACTGAAAGAAAAACCTGGTAATGGTGCTCAAAATCATTCACACATATACCTTCAGAAAGAAAAACAGCTTGCATCGTCTCTGGCTCTGGTCTTGACTCTTTTTGTGGTTTCCTGGCTCCCTATTCACATTATGAACATCGTGGATTACTTTCGTGGACCAGACACTGTACCATACAAAACTTTCTATGTTGGCATTCTGCTTTCACACGCTAATTCAGCTGTCAATCCAGTAGTGTATGCATTTAAAATAAAAAAGATCAAGACAGCTTATGTGAAGATTTGGAGACAGTTTGTTCTGTGTACAGCAGAAAATAAAGGCTCTTCAGTGAGCCAGACAACAGAAAACGCCAGCAGTAACATGAGAAGTGGTGAAAATGAAACAACGCTGATCTAACTTTTTCAGTCTGTTTCTTTGTGATGCATGTCACTGAAATACAGATTTTATCTCAAGATTTGAAAGAGCTGTATAAATTGCATAGAATCCTTGTTTAATAATTAACTGCAGCTTTTGTTGTCTCTGTTTTCATTTTCTTCATTTTTGTGAACCAGGTGATCTTTGCTGAGCTGTATAAATAGCTTGATGATTTTTCACTTAGTTCTGATTATTTCCAACTTATTTGAAAAAGGACAAGACATGAAACAATGTCAGATTTAAATAGTCATTGCCATTTTTAGACCAATGCTGATAAATCAAACTATAATGAATTAACTTCTTCCTCATTGTCATGTTTTCATTAAATGTTTGTTTTTCAAAAGGAATTACTGTTCGTCTTTATTTCTGATTATGTATTTGCATCAACAGTGTGGAAATTATGTTGGGCTTTTGTTTTTAGAAAGGGGTGAGCTACTTTCACTGATACTTTCACTGATACATTTATGCAGTAAGTGGAGAAACAGCAGGATTTGTAATACATGCTGGACTTTTCTGAAAAGCAATATACAATTTAGAATTTTCAGAAGATAGAAAGATCTAATGTGACTCTGAGGTCTGTTTTATAATACATGGAGGACTTTGCATAATAATATACTAGTTAATTTAGCTGCAAATATGACATTTTTCTAAGTTTAAAGACACCAAGTTTAAAGACACAATTATAAATGACTTAAATGCACATGGAAAATCTAACTTTGTGAATAAAAGCATCGATCTTTAAACAAGATAAATAACATCTTCATAAACAATCAGTATCATAGAGGTCTTGCATTTAGCTGTCATGAGTTTTATAGAGGACAACGCTACAATTAGCCTTTTTGGAGGAAGTGAGAATATATTAGCAAATCCCCCACACAACACAAATACCAATGGAAAAAATTGGCAAGATTGGTTTCAGATAGCACGACAGTCACAGACTATTTAAAGGTGTAAGAGGAACAGTCAAAGTTAACCACTTGTTTTGCATTCTGTAGTTATCATTTATCAAGAGAACACGCAATTAACAGTACCGGTTCTGTTTAATGTTCTGGAACATTGAAATGTTGAATGTTCTTTGTTTTTAAACATCCAGCCGTCTATCCGTCTGCCCATCCATCCATCTTCTTCCGCTTATCCAGGATCGGGTCACAGGGGGTAGCAGCGATTTTAAACATTCAACGTTCAAAATTAATGCAACAAGTGTGTATGGAAGTCTAAACCTCAGGTTTTGCCACAAGCAGGGGTCCAGATCACAGCATCATGTTAAATGAGCTATAATGTGGATCTTGTCTATGGAAGTTCTAAAACTTCCTCTCAGCTTCCCTGTCAATACTCAATCTTTCAAAGTGGGAGTCTGGTAAAGGTCTATCAACTCAATTCAAAAATACTTTATTAATCCTAAAGGGAAATTAAGTTACTGTTTTAGTCTTTTTTCAGAGTTGTCATTGATTCTAATGGTTGGATATCCTGTAGCAGTCAGCTTTACAGCAGATCTGTAGAGCAGTGTTTCCCCTGCTTCAGCACACATGATTTAAATAGTTGATTAACAGGGTTTTGCTGAATTGCAATCATCTGCATGGGGTGGGTTGAAGCAGGGGAATATCATGCAGGTCAGTGTGCCTTGAGGACCAGGGTTGGGAAACACTGCTGTAGAGAACTCCACACCTCAGTCTTCTGTTGTTGTTCTGGACTTGTTTGAGCCTTATGGCCCCTTACTCCCTGACATTTCCCTAATATTGAACAATCAGGGAAATCTGACATTTCACATTGTTATATTGCTAACAAACCTTTACTTTGGCTCCACAATGAAGTGTTTTTGCTTGTTTGTTGGATTATCTTGCTTTTATTCTTATAAAGCATTTTGAATTACCCTGTTGCAGTAAATGTGCCATACAAATAAATGAGCCTGCCTTATCTAGACTCCACAGTAATGTGTTGAGATTATTTTTGCTGGAAGCTAAACAAGTAAAACATCATAGAAGAAATAGAGAAAAAGCAGAATTGTTCATAATTTACAACTACAGCAAGATGTTGCCATTTAGGTTTATTTACATTCAAAATGGAAACATTTAAATAAAGGTTGTAGTTGAAATCATCGTTTGTAGCCACTTAATGTGCATACAAATGTTTTTTCTCTAAGTAATTGTAACAGGAATGTAAGAAAGTAACATATCTACAAAACACTTGAGTATGCTTTGGTGAGTAAGTTTTACTCTTTCAATCACTTGGAGCAAGAAGGTGCGAGACTGATCATCAGTGATATCGTCAATATCTTGGCAGTTATCATAGTCTGAATTGGGAAAGAAAAGGAGTAGCAATGATCAGAAATAATCACATTGCTATATTTATTTCAATACATAGAGTTTTCCTTGGTGTAGGAGTCTCACCTTGGTCTGCATTTAAGACCTGTGGTTTGGAAAAGCGAACACACTGGACCTGCATCTCAAACTCCTTCAGTTCCTCTTCAGTGATGGTCGTTCTCCTACCTGGTGAAGATGTGGCATAAAAGAAAAATGGTGCAATCTGTTTAACCAGTATCCTGCTTTGGAAAAGTTGTCAGTCAAAAAATATTGCAATTTTACACAATAATGTAGCAAAACTTGCACAAAATGGTAACAAATTAGAAAAGGAACTGACAAAAATTGATTCATGCTCATCAAGGTTGCTAGAATAGTTTTGTGCTTTGAGCAAACAAATAGGAAGGATGAAAAAGAATTCTCTTAAAGCAAGATTATTATATATTTTCCAGGCACGTTGTGCCATTTTATACCACAATCAAGTTTCTATATTTAGTTGTCTTTAGTTGTTATATCAAAAACAAACTAATATCACTTCACATCTTAGCAGTATTTGAATTGGCCTCTGCAAAAATGTTAGGTTTATTTACATTCAAAATGGAAACATTTAAATAAAGGTTGTAGTTGAAGTCATCAGTCAAAAATATTAAATTTTTATCTGTCAATTTTTAAATGTTATTAACACAGGCTATTATGATGCCTTTGATTTTTATATGGTTTAACTAATAATACTTCAGACTGACCCCTGGAGCCCTATTGATTTAAGGTGAGGGGACACATTTTACTACTGAACCATCTACTGTTGAATTTCAGAGATCTTGTCCTGCACAAGAAACCAAGCCATATCAGCAAACCATCATGAGTCACCAGATTTCTCCCATAACACGGGCAGGAGGTTCACCAAAGTTCTCACCAATTTAAGTTATTTAGTGCAACAGAATTTACATGTAAAGTTCTAATATTTTAGATTAAATAAATTTGTTATCCTTACTGAGTAATGAAACAGTGCTCAAAGTGTCGTTGGACTTTACCACGATGCAGTCAGAGCAGCTGGTTTGCAGCAGAACATCTGGCTCACCAACTGGAGCATCTGTTGAAAACAGCGTGAGGTATTGTAATGCATTTTAAATTAAACTTCATCATTATAATTTTAAAGTTGCATCAAAGTATACAAAACATACTGTAACAGATTAACCTGAATTCTAATCACTATGTGCAATTTAAATAATTGTAGCATATCAATTATGTGTTTTCTAAGCACATATCAGAAATTGTTGATATGAAACAACAATTTTAAAATTGTTGTGAAAATACAACAATTTCTGATATGTGCTAATGTTTGCTTATCTTTTTTTATATTCATGTTATTTGAAACATCACTACAGGAAATGTGACAGAGTTTGGAAACTGATGATGAAACACCTATGAAACAGCTTCTTACTTTCACTGTTGACTTCAAATACTTTGTTGTTTTCTTGAAAAAAATCCTCTGTTTCACTGAAGCAGAAGCCATACCTGGAGATGATTTATTTCAACATTTAACATAAAATACAAAAATCTAATATTTTACTTAAAAATGCAAGACAAAATAAAGATTACTCACATTTTAGCCTTAACCGTAGCAGTATAGAGGTTTGGCGTGCCCTTATGAGTAATGTCTACAGCAAGACTTGGCCAAAATATGCTGTTAACTAGCAATGCTGGCAAGCAGGCCTCTGTTGATACAGCTATGTAATGCCACCTCCCAGACAACTAGAACAGAAGAACATATGTATTTGTGAAAAACATTCTAAATTCTTAAGAAAAATGTGTTACTCTGTATTTTTTATTTATTTATAAGAAAAAAATAAATCATTTGGAAAATGCAATTTCACTTACCTCTGGACGTTTCTCGACTGGCTTTGCTAGTTTATCACAGGTCAGAGGCGCAGGCTGACCCACTGAGACAAAACTCAGCACAACAGCAACCCAAAGAGTCTTCATTATGGATCTTCAGCAGGTTCTTCTCAAACTCCACACAGGTCTGCTTTTTAAAGTTGCTACTGACCAATTATTGTTCCGGTACCTCCAACCACCCCTTTGTCAGTGACAGTAAATGCATCCCCCCCAATTTTACCCTTCCCAGTCTTTGTGTTTGCTGATCAAATAACCATTTGGTCTGTTTGCAAAGTCAGTGACACTGCTACCAAACACTTCTCTAATGTTTCTTTAATGCTTTCACAATCCTTCACTAGTATCTTCAATATATGAATTTTTCTGACACATCGCTTCAGCCTGGTCTTAATTTCACTAAACTTTATATTTGCCACAGGATTTGCAACTGGGGTTAGAGAAATCCAGATGTTGTGGAGGGCTTTGCTGCCTTAAATAGCTTCAGTAGAAATCTTTCTGTTACCGTTTTTAAAAACATTTTTCTAATGTCATTTATATTCTGATGGGTGTTGAATAACTGCTAAAGTTACACTTTTTAAAAGTAATACAATTTTAAAACCTATTTGTGACATTCACTATATTGCTAGTATTGCTCATTTTTAAATGTCACTGTCTAACCAGTGTTAGAGAGCAGCTTACACATTGGCTTATTGACATTCTCTGACAACATAAAAATATAATCTGAAAATGTACACATATTTATATTCTGCCACCAACATGAGCCAAAAACATGCCGTTAACATATGGCTGAGAGCAGTGAACTCTAGATTAACTCTGTTCACCAGCGGTTCAGGGTTATTGATCTGTGTGGTCCTGCTGCTCTAAAAACACAAGGGTAAAATAATAAAAAAAAAACAATTTGGGCAGTTAATAATACATATTTCCTCAAGACATCCTTATTCTCTATATCAGTGTTTCCCAACCCCCTGGTCCTCAAGGCACACTGGCCTGCATGTTTCTGTTGTTTCCCTGCCTCAAGCACACATGATCTCAGTTTATGACTGCAATTTTGAAGCATACTGTAGTTTGAAACCAAAATAATACTTATTTTTTGTAAGTGATTGGTAGATATGTGGAGAAAGATGTCTAAGTTTAAGTTTCTGCCCCGGGGCCATGTTGATTGCTTATCCACCTGTGGTAGCATTGACGGTGCCTTCTTCAAATTGCACTCACAGAAATATTTAATCCTAACTTTTAAGATTTATGTAATATTATTACATAAATTACATATTATTACTACAAACTTCGATTTACTTCCACATCGATATGTGGCACAAGGAAGCTGGGATCGAACCTTCTGATCACTAGACGACAACTCTACCCACAGGGACATAGCGGCATATCCGTCACATGGACCGGAGTGCTGGGGAAAGTGCATCCTCTTCTTCTATTACCCTCTTAAGACAGATGGCAGCCAACTTACAGGGACCTTACTTCCACCTACTGGTGCAGGACTTTGTGTCTGATTCCCCATTTCACTTCTCATAACTTCAATGAAAACCAAACACATAAAATTTCAGTACCAGAAACTTGTTTAACAACTTTAATTATCTAAACTTTGTTAGTATATATTAACTAATTACATTCAGTACCTTCTCGAATTGATTCGATTATGTAAATAATAATTAAGTTAAAGGCATATAACATGAGTTTTTAAATAAAATCAAACAGATGTAAATGCATAAAAATTTACTCTGCCGTGAATCATTGCTGTGAGTGTGCAGCAGTCTGTGATTTATTTATTGGCCTCTTCCTTTACTGATATATTTTAACATTTTAGATCTTTAAATCTCAGTTTACTACCGATATCACAGAGTTACACTCCTGATACTCAAGCTATAATTTCAGGTGAGTAGTGGTGGATTTAAAAGGAAAAACAATGTCCCTTCCCGTTTCTGGCACTTGTGTACTCTGACCCAAGTCAAATACAGAACAGCAGTGTACATCCTGTTCATTTAGCTAAATGTTTAAAGTTTAACTATGAACCTTGATATAGGTTCAAATGGTGTTTGCAAGGGTTGCTGTCTTTTTTTTAGCAGCTAAGGTTTGTAGGTCGGATTACAGAGTTTTTATTTGATAAACTGAACTGAACCAGTTCTGCTGGTGTCCATATGGTTATGTGTATTTGCTATATGTTACATTGTGATCTTTATTGTTATGTGTAAAAAGTTACAGGCTTCCCCTGTCTGACTCCCGCTCACATGTGATAGACCTGTCATGTGGGCAGGGGATGAGGGGGGCAGCAGGACAGGACCGGAAGAAGAGGGAGCTTGGGGGTGTTAGCAGGAAGCTAGTTCGGTGGAGCGCAACGGTTTGTTGGAGGTGTGACCTGCGGCCTCAGAAATAGCGGCTCGTTTCTAATTACTAATAAACCCGTTTGGCGGGACTACATCTGTGGTGTTCTGGCGTCATTGCAATACTACGAAATCTAAATATATTTTAAATGGACGTAATCTAATTAATCTACATAATGTCTTTCACTTGGTGATAGAATTACTAACAAAGGAACTTTTCAGTCATATTCTAAATTATGGGATGAGTCTGTATTTGCTGAATATATTTGCCTTAATATAGCAAACAATAAAGAGGCGGAAAAAACTGTTTTGGGTCTGGTTGGAGCAGTTGGTGAGTAGAGTGACCATCGATATTACTGGATTCTACAAAATGTGGCTTAAAGATGACATGCTGACGTTTGGATATGTAAAAATATATATTTTCTTTGCATATAAATCTATAAATAGTTTGGTTTCTGCCAGTTTTGTAAAGATACAAGAGAGAACAAAGCAAATTTCTCTTTTATATCGATCAATAATTTAATTGAATTGTCGCTGTAAGAGCCATGGTTTAAAATTTAACAAACTTTGGCTCTTTATGCTTTATGAAATATTTCATCTGAGTATCACCACGTTCTACAAACAAATGATGCA